CCCGTCGAGTCTTTACTTTTATACCAATGACGCGACCCGGAATCAATCGCTTAAATTCCTCACTGACAGCAAAAAATGCGGCGTGAGGCCCCCCAAACCCTAGTGGGACACTAAAACGTTGGGCAGATCCCAAAACAACATCGGCTCCCATTTCTCCCGGAGGTTTGAGAAGAACAGAAGCCATCAAATCTGTCCCACAACAACTGACGACACCGTGTTGCTTTGCCTTCTCAAACAGTGTCGTAAAATCATGAAGCATCCACATGGCATCTGGAGTTTGTACCAAAATTCCACAGAGTGAGGAATCGCTCCAATCAATCAAATTTGGATCACCAACAACGACCTTTATTTTAAGGGGCTCAGCTCTCGTTTTCACCATCTCTACGCAAGATGGGAAGACATCCCTCGATAATAAAAAAAGGTCATACGCTCCTTTCGACCATGATGAAAGGCAAGGTACATTGCCTCAGCACATGCAGTAGCTTGATCAAGAAGAGATGCATTTGCCAAATCCATAGCCGTCAAGTCTATAATCATGGACTGAAATTTCAACAGGGACTCTAGACGGCCTTGAGATATTTCAGCCTGGAAAGGAGTGTATGGGGTGTACCATGCACGATTCTCGATAACGTTACGAAGTATTACAGGTGGTGTGCCCTGGCTCATAGTATCCTTGCCCAATCATGCTCTTTAATACCTTATTCCGTGAACCCAGTGAATGGAGAAGCGAAACGGCATCCTGCTCGCCCATCGCCGGAGCCTCTTTTAAAGGACTTCGCAAAATATTCTCCGGGATCACAGCAGTCATGAGGTCCGACAGACTTTCTTTGCCAATTATTCAAAGCATAGTAATTGATTCTGCCGCTGATGGTCCAATATGGCAATTGACGTAACTGTTTGCAGCAGCCCGTCGTACAAACGCCAGTGGCAACGTGGAGAAATGATGAAAGCAACGATACATTATTATGTTAGATATGTGCTCGTCACCCTCTTTCTCTCTCTCTCGCGCACGCGTTAGTTTTCTTTTACTTTGGACAAAAAATTGGGCTTCGCAGTTAAAAATCCACAAGAACAAATAAAAAATATAATTGAAAAATAAAAATAAATTTAAACAATAATCAAAATAATAATAATAACCCATTAAAACAACAACAACAATAACCAAAAAGGATTGTCAAGGAAAATAAGCACGCATTTATATGAGCAATTCCAATTTTCATCCCCGCAAACCACATATAGCCCCCGCGTCCCTTTATTCATGGACCTTCACGTTGGGTATTCACTAAAGTAGGCGTGACGAAAGGCGCCAGCCGCAGTCAAACGCTTTTGAGGATCCAGGCAAAGTAACCTTCGCAACAAATCCAATGCACATTCAGAGGCATCGGGGAAATATTCACGGAGAGGAAGAGGACGCTTCGGCTCAAAGTGCACCTTTCCCCAATCGGGAAGCAGCACCGCCGATGGCCACGATGTGGGCGTCGGTGTCAATAATACATCAAATATTCGTGACAACTGCCAAATATCTCCATCGCCTGCAAAAAGAGCACCACTGTACCCCCGTAGAAGTTCCGCAAATACGCACCCTGATGACCACACATCAATTTCGGGTCCGTAGTGTCGCTGGCCCAGAAGTAACTCGGGAGCTCGGTACCACCTCGAAACGACTTCGTGAGTCATGGATGCCTCCGTATCCCATACACGACTTAGTCCAAAGTCGCCGAGGCGTAGTTCCCCCTCCGCAGTCAAGAAACAATTTGAAGGTTTCACATCTCGATGAAGAACACCTTCGCTGTGTATGTACGCCAACGCCAAAAGAAGCATTTTAAATAAAGACTTTGCCTCTAACGCGGGCAGAGGATTGCTGGCAGTTCTCCCTGAGAGGACTGCTGCCAAGTCAGTCTTGCAACGCTCCATCACTAACGCCAAGGAGCAGCCACACGGAACTACCTCATATGTCCGAATAACAAAAGGATGCACCAATCGCATTGCAACAAGCAGTCCCCTCGCTGTGGGATGCGGAATACCCTCATCGAGACGTGGAGTTGTGATGAATTTGATTGCGGCTGGCATTCCAGATTCCTTAACAACTGCAGCACGAACGACGCCAAAGCGGCCCTCACCAATTGGGGATCCAATAATAAAACGATCCATGTCAAGCGACCACCTCTCTCTCTTCTTTTTTTCTCTTCTTCACCCCTCTCCTCCATTCTACGGCATCGTGGAAATATAAATGGAACACAAAAAATTGACTCCGGTGATGCCAAAATCCCTCCGCACCCAAAGATCATGCTCAATGCCCCTCCCTAATGAGCACATGCATGGAAACTGAAAGAACTCCAATTTATCTCAAAAGAACCCATTTTTTGTTGTGGTGGTGGTAGTTATTGTTTTCTCCTCGTCAGAATCTAATTATTTCAAAAACTTTCTCGTATTTAAGACTTCTGACTCCCTATTCACAACAGCGGCAGTCGCACCAGAGTACATCTTTGCTCGAGCGAACAAACTCACTCTTTCAGTCCTGGGTTTCTCATGGCACACTTCCACCTCAACAGGGGGAGGAGGAGGAAGAGAAGAAGACTGCTGCTCTTCCGTGGAATACTTCGGTGTGGCTGTGGCCACATCACCCTCATTTTTGGCTTGCAGTTTTGCCGCACGATCCTCAACCAAAAAAAGAGACTGATCCATAGTCGTGTTTTCAGGGGCAACAAGATCATCTGCACAGAAAAGAAATCCCTCAGCGCCTGTGCTCAATGCACACTCCCGAGAATCATCCGCACAACAACCGCCTGTATGCTCCCTCACCACCAATGATTGATTGAGAGAGTTCTTTTTCCGCAAGAGCTCATCACGTAGTTTATTAACGGTTGACGCGCCACCCCTCTTGGCTGCTACTCGTAAAGGAATGGAGTGAGTTACCCTCCGAACTGTCGCATTGGGGATGCTGCTGTCCGTCTTTAGACACTGATTCGTCCGGTACGTTTTTATCTCTGTAAAAGACACGCGTGAACGGCCCAAACCTCCCTCCTGCGTGCGCCGCCAAAATGCATCACACCGTTGCCTCTTGCTTCTCAGAGATATGAAGGCGGCGCATCTTCGGCTTCACGATCGCTGATGCTCTGCTCGCTTTCCCCCGAGTCATCCGGAGATAAAATCCGTCCACTTGTTGTTGCGTTTTGTGAAAATGCGTTTGTTATACCTGCGGCACCCGCGCTCTCCTCGCCACCAAAAGGAACGCTGCCGCCAGATTCCTTCCTCGCCCTCTTAAACTCCTTCAGAAAAGCGGAAACGTCCATTTTCTTCAAACGTAAAAGAAAAGAAAAGGAAATGAACATGTGCTTAGATGAGGTCGTTGACGTCTTATCCTCCGAAATGTGAGAGGAGGGAAACACAACAAAATGGGAGAAGACAATTTAATCACACATCGCTCTGCATCAACGCGCTCAAAAGAAAAATTATCCGGCACTCATGCACACGCAACAAAAGCCATCAGACAAATAAATCGACAATAGCCAAACTCGTCGTAAAGTAGCAAAGCTGCAGCCTTAATTTAGTGCCCCTTTTAGCCGCCGGACTCCCCAGCACCGCGTGAGGCGCAATGAAGGAGGCGGGTGGGACGACAGAAAGAAACTGCAGCCGCCACCTTCCCGCGCAGCACCACCAAAATTTGCCCCCACAACTCGCACATTCGTTCCAAAAAGTTTCTAAAAAAAAAAAACAACCAAAAACGCTGCAAATCAATAAATATGAGATGTTTTGAACGCTGCGGATTGCAAGGCCGAGCATCCACGTATTCCACGGGAGGGCGGACTGGCATTTCAATTAGAAGGACAGGAATTCATAAGTTTTTCCTCCTCCTTTTGTTTCTCCGTGAGTGCGAGAACGCAGACGAGGGAAAACTCACAGTTTTTCAACGAAAGAAATTCTTTTAACACCAAAAAAAAAGACGGCAGCCAAATGAGGGCTATTTTTTTCTTGTCGATTTCGTGAGCGTTTATTTATATTTATTTATATTTTTTTTTCTCCAAATTGTGCCGGAGGCAAAAGAAAAAAAGAACACCAACAAATAACACACGCGAAAATTACAAAAACACAAACACGTGAAAGTAAAAATAAAAAGGCAACAAATAACATATCATATCGTCCTTATTTTCACTGCAGAGTTCGCTACGGAAAAAAAAACACCCTCAATAGGATCATCATCGTGCACATGTTGCAGCTCGGAAACAGACAGAGTCGAAAGAACCAAGTGTTTACAATGAGATGCCACATCACTCGCATTAGCCTCATTCTCTATAACAATGGATTCACCTGAAAAACTCAGTTTTTGCAGCAAATTCTCTCTCTCAGCCGTGCTAATCGACTTGAAAGATCCACTGTCCAACCTGAAGTGCACATCCACCAAACGCTTAGCGAGCATCAACACGGTTTCCCCATCACTCACCGTAACTAAAATCACCTGACACCTCGTGGCTGATACATAAATAAGAACATGAATTACGTCAGAGCCCTCTGAATACCGAAGGTTGTCTTGCGGTGCAGCAAGAAAGGGGAGGCTACCGGTGTGTTGGCCATCATCCATAGAGGAGTATATACACCTGCAACAGCAGCAGAAACATCGTCGTCGTCATCATCCAAATCAGTATCGTCAGCATTCTCCTCGTCGGGAAATGTACCTGCGGTATTTCGATCTTCTTCTCTTCGTGGCGTCCAAGAGACAACAATTGTTGCCTGGGCGGATTCAGTAGTCAAACGATCGGACTCGCAATTACAAGCATTCACACTGTTCAACTCTTTATGGTGGCTCTGAACACTAGCACAGGACGGATTTGTAGCTTGCGGTGTCTTTCAAAGAAATTCAAAACATTTGCGGCACACCCGTCGTCGTTTATTTACATGAAGC